AAATTGTTACTTATACAAAGTTATGTGATAAGAATCGAAAATACATATATTTGTGATACTTGAATTACTAGAAAGCTGCTCTATATATGTGTACTTTAAGAAGTAATTGATATCCTAAAAAAATCATAAAAATGAAAAGGTCAGGCCATGTTCAAAAGAAGGTACTCAAAAATTTAAACCTTTAAAAATTTAAACGATCTAATAATAAATTATCACAAAAAGTAACTAATATGTTATTCAAGGTGCCAGTTCAAAGTGAACATACGTAAAGTGTATATTATCTAAATTTAGTAATAATATATTACCATGAAAAGTAACTGATATGTTATTCAAGGTGCCAGTTCAAAGTGTGAACATACGTAAAGTGTATATTATCTAAATTTAGTAATAATATATTACCATGAAAAGTAACTGTGATATTTTATTCAAGGTGCAAGTTCACATTGAACATACATACATATAAGTAAAACTGATTACAATTTGATTCTAGAAAATAAGTGCGATATGTTATTCTTAGTGCACAAAATATAATAGTCGTTTATAGAGATTTGATTTGAAATTCATACTAGCCCGTACAATGAAAAATAATTGCTCGTAATTCCAGAGTACCAATTTGTTAATGACTCAGAAAAATAACATGGCGGCCTGCTCTCAAAAAACTATGATGTTTTTCGATGTCCATTTAGAAATAATGTCGAAGCTCTTACAGAATAATTACTACAACATTTGAAATACGAAAAGTATTACATTAGAAGAAGATTAGATTAGAATAAGGATTCAACGTATTTTTAAAAGCTCTACACACAACGAAGTGAATATACAAAACTATATACAAATACCTTTTTCTTCTGTGTTTCTGAAGAAAATTGTAAGTCAAATGAAACATTGCTATTCAAAACCTATTCTTCATGATCGCAAGACACTATTTTCTATTTAAAAGACGTCTGCTAAAATTTTAATAAATAGATATTATTTATGATAGAAATGAAGAATTTGTGCTTTACAGTATATGGATAGTACATGGTTATTTCAAACACTGAACCGATGCATACAACAAAACTTTTCTCTGTCTGTTCAATAAATTACTGATAATGTTGAATCCCAATCACATATGCCACCTTGCCTAGGTTAATGATGGTCATTAACGGGAAATTTTACTAAAAAAGATTGGAGATTTTTAATTTATACAATTTTCACAACTCTTATTTCAATTATTTATTCTATCCATCGAAAGTTTTTTGAGAGCAGGCCGCCATGTTATTCTTCTGAGTCATTAACAAATTGGTACTCTGGAATTACGAGCAATTATTTTTATTGTACGGGCTAGTATGAATTTCAAATCAAATCTCTATAAACGACTATTATATTTTGTGCACTAAGAATAACATATCGCACTTATTTTCTAGAATCAAATTGTAATCAGTTTTACTTATATGTATGTATGTTCAATGTGAACTTGCACCTTGAATAAAATATCACAGTTACTTTTTATGGTAATATATTATTACTAAATTTAGATAATATACACTTTACGTATGTTCACACTTTGAACTGGCACCTTGAATAACATATCAGTTACTTTTCATGGTAATATATTATTACTAAATTTCGATAATATACACTTTACGTATGTTCACTTTGAACTGGCACCTTGAATAACATATCAGTTACTTTTTGTGATAATTTATTATTAGATCGTTTAAATTTTTAAAGGTTTAAATTTTTGAGTACCTTCTTTTGAACATGGCCTGACCTTTTCATTTTTATGATTTTTTTTGGATAAGGTATATGTGGGGATTCTAACAGAAAGGTTAAAGAAGGAAATAGAGAGAGGGAATATGTTACCGGAGAGTCAAGCAGGTTTTAGGGAGGGAATGGGGGTGATAGATAGTATATATGTGTTAAACTACCTGGTTAATAAAAATGTGAATAAGAAGGGAGGTAAGGTAGTAGCGGCATTCATAGAGCTGAAGGCGGCGTTTGACTCAGTGGATAGAAACGTGTTAATGAAGGCAATGAGAAATAGAGGGATAAGAGAAGGATTGAGAAGTAGGATAGAGGAGGTGTACAGAGAGACGAGGAGCAAGGTAAGAGTGGGGAAGGAGGAGGGAGAAAACTTTTGGACGGCAAGGGGTGTGAGGCAGGGTTGCCCAATGAGCCCACACTTGTTTAATTTACTGATAGCAGATATATAGGAAGTGCTGAGAAAAGGAAGTTGGGGAGGGGTTAAGCTGGGAGGGGAAAAAGTGCACTGCTTGGCATATACAGATGACATGGTACTGTTGGCAGAGGATGAGGAAGGGATGATACATATGTTGGGGAAAATGGAAAATTACATGGATAAAAAAAGGTTAGAGGTCGAATGTGGATGCGGGGCCCACTTCCCCGTTAGAGCTTCGGCTCGTATGTGATAAGGGATGGCGACCCGGAATTCAAACGCCCGGTGGCATGGCACCGTTAGGAGAAGGGACTGCACGGCGCTTTGGCGCTTCCCTTCCCACCATGCTTTGTGGCCTGGCACGCCTGCCGGGTAGGCGGCTTTTGCCATCCGGGGTTTTCCTCCCCTCCGTCCTGAGGGGGGCTTGTTCTGGGGTTTCTCCCGGGGGAAGTTTCTCTCTGGGATCTGGGGGGGTGGGCGTCGGCGACGGGGATCGCATTGGAGGGTGCCGCGCGCGACTACCCGAGGGGCTTTGCCCGGAGGAGTCCATGTCGGTCGGTCTTCGGGGCCCGCTCGTGGAGCGGTTCCCGGGGACAGAGAGGTGCCTCAGGGTGCTGGCTGGGGGTCTCCAGGCTAGGTAGCCTGGGTCCCCGTCCCAGCGTCCCTGGGGTAGGCCGCACCCAGGCCGCTCGGACGTTTCCGAGGCAGGGCTGGGTCGGCGGAGACGGCCACGCGTGGTCACCCGAGGGGCATAGCCCGGAGGGTTTACCCAAGGGGCATTGCCTGGAGGGGACCACGCGGGTCGGCCGTCGGGGCCGCTCGGACATTTCCGAGGCGGGGCTCGACGGCGAGAGGGAGGTCGCAGGGTGCTGGTTGGAGAGCGTGCTCTTGTCCCAGCGTCCCTGTGACTTGCCATCCTCGGGCCACTCGGACGTTTCCGAATCCGGGCCGAGGATGGCGGAGAAGGCGTGTCGCGGTTACCCAAGGGGCATAGCCCGGAGGGTGCCGCGGCCGCCTGCCGCCGGGGCCGCTCGGACGTTTCCGAGGCAGGGCCCGGCAGCGAGAGAGGTTATCCCCGGTCGGTCGGGACCGTTTCCCTTCCAAACCGATCGACCGGAGAGGCGCACACCCCCTCGTCAAAGGCCTTAGGCGAGGGGTAACACGGTAGGCTGGTCGCCACGGCGTGTAGGGCAGGGCCGGGGAGCGGCGACCCTGCTCAAAGCGTCCGTGGGGCCCCCTGGGTGGCGCCACCCCCAGCAGTGCCCGCGCTGTCGGAGGCGCGGGACCCCTGAAAAACCCGTGTGCGGCGTCAAAACCCCACACGGGGGAGTAAGGGGCTGGAGCCGGGCCAGGGGGGGTCTTTATCCCCTCTGGTTTCGGCATAGGTGGGCTCCCGGTGAGTACACCGGGCCTGACCGGCGGAGTGTGCCGGTCATGTTTCGGGCACTTCGTCGGTCGGAGGGAGATACGCCGGCCCACTGAGCCGTTGGGGGGAATGGGATTTATTCAAAATGACAGACTCTAACAATACAAACCCAAAAAACCTACGAAGGAGTGGAGCTAAAAGAGAGGGCGATGGATCTCAGGTCCACCTAAATGCAGGTTCCTTCAAAGAACTGGAGGAATACCTATGGAAAGGCGAGCAACTTCAACAAGTCACAATATCCATACCGAGATGTGACTCGGATGGAAGTAATAGGTCGGATCGCTCAACATTGAGCCAAAGAGGTAGGAGAAACCCTACTAGAACAGCGAGGACAGCAGCAGACATTGCCCGTGAAAGCAAGAAGATCGCACGGAGTGCGCTATATAACACAAGAAAGGGAATCCCAGGAATGAAAACAGAGGGGGAGACTGGCGACGAAACGGAGGCGGATATCGTCAGCCTAACAAGCGAAAGTGAAAACGTAACCGAGGAACCCGGGAAAGCAAACATTCTCCACAAGAGCTTTTTTCCCGCTCTGCCCGGTACAGTGCATAATGCACAGGAGGATGGAACGGAAGTAACGGCCGACAATCCCATTGTAATAACGGGGATAATCAAAAAGGAGAAGAGAGGAAGACCTCCGCATGACTTCGTTAAAAATGAGGAGAGGAAGGCAGCGATTCAGATCAAAACCTTGGAGGCGGAGAGACAAAAAGAGTTAGAAATATTAAGTCCTTTGTACAAATCGGCAGAAGGGAAATCTCTCGATAAATTCAGAGAGTTGATTTACCATAAAAGGGAGGAGTTCAGCGATAGATCCTCAATTAATATCGAGACAGAAATTGCTGAACATATGGAATCGATCTACAAGATAGCGGTCAGTTCCAAAAACCTGAAGGGGGGATACACGAAAGAGCTACAGGTGTCAGCCGCGGCAATGGGCGCGGCAGTCACTGAACTGGCTTTTCGAGCCGGCCAAAAAGAGGGTGGAAAAAGAGATTCCGAGTTCGCCGAAATCAAAACAAGATTGGCGAACTTGGAAATAGAATACAGCAGGCTCAAAAGAGAGAACGAAGAGCTAAGGAAAAGGAAGGCAAGATATAGAAAAGAGAAACCTACAATTTCTCGGGGAGATGCCTTCCGGGGAGAAGCATCGGAGACACCTCTGCCTTCCGAGACATCCGAAGTGGAGGAGGAGGACAGGCCAAGGAGTCCCAGGAAGAGAAGGAAAAGAACCTCACATCCATCCAGAGATGGGGAGGTCCTTAAAGGACAGGAGGGGGCCTCACTTCCACCCAAGGATGGGGAGGCCCCAGAAAAGAAGAGGAGTAGGGGGATGGAAAGTTCACTTCCACCAAGTAAAGATGGGGAACCCCCACCCCCCGAGGAAAGGGAAAAGAATCGGAAGAGGAAGGAATGAAGGCAGAGGTGGAGGTAGAAAACTGCTCCATGGTCTACAATGACAAAGACCTCTCTGATTCAGATCTAAAGGAGAAGAAGAAAAATAGGAAGGGAACGAATACCCATCCTATCTTAGAAGAGAACGTGGTAAGGACATATAATCCACAACCACTTCAGACGACGAAGAGGGGGGCTCTTAATAGAAGCATCGAAGGCCTTTTTACACTAATGGAGTCGCTGCAATCGCAAATGAAATCCATGCAAGAGAGCAGCGTCCCAAAAATAGAAGGACTGATCGAGAAAATTCTCGATGAAAGGATGGGGGATACCCATGAGGAGCTCAAATATAAGAGAGCTTCCTCGGGGGGAAAAAACCCCAAAAAACCACTCGACAGGAGACCGATCCGGCTACGGGGGGTAAAGAAAAGAGGATCAAGGTCACAAAAGTGACGACCCTAAACCCTCCGGCCAACGCAGGCAAGTCTGCCGTAACACAGACAAACCAAAAGAGGGGGAAGCAGCAGCATAAACAGCAACCGCCTAAACAGGTGAGCGCTGCAGGAAGACAGACCGCTTCAATGGTTGCGGCGGTTCATGGTCCACAAGAAAAGGGCGAGCAGTGGACCACCGTGGTCAAAAGAAAGAAGAAAGAAGGGGATGCAAATAGGGCGGAGCAAGAAAAGACTCGCCAGACCAGGAATGAGGGCAGGAGCCAGCCCATTCCACCCCAGTCTAGCCAAGGCAAGGCAAAACTTGCTAAGAGGAAGGAGCCGCGTACAGCGGCGAATACACTTACGTGCCCGGAAGGCAAGTATGCCGAGATAATGAGAGAGGCGAGAACGAAGATAGAGCCCCAGAACCTTGGCATCAAAAAAATAAACATGAGGAGGTCAATCACAGAGGCTATGGTATATGAAATACCAGGAGAGAACAAGGGGAAACTCGCAGACAAACTTGCTGCGAAATTAAGAAAGACCCTTAAGGGAAAGGAGGGGGTCCGGATAAGCCGTCCAGTAAAGATGGCCGAAATCCGAATACTGGGGCTGGAGGAGTCCATCGCACTGACAGAGGTGGTGGAAGCAATAGCCACCTTTGGCAAGTGCGAGCAGGAGGAGATCCAGACGGGAGACATCAAAATCTCCCCGAATGGATTAGGGTCCCTCTGGGCCAGATGCCCCCTTGTTGCGGCCAACCGCCTAGTTACGGGCGGCGGGGGACGTATAAAAATAGGTTGGGGACATGTCCAAGTGACACTATTAGAGCAAAGGCCCCTGCAGTGTTACAGGTGCTTGGAGGGAGGTCACGTCAGACAACGATGTCCCAATCGCACCGATCGGAGCAACCAATGCTACTGTTGCGGGCGAGAGGGGCACGTGGCCAAAGAATGCAGCGAGGATTTCAACTGCCCGGTGTGTAGGGACAGAGGCCTTCCTGCAAAACACCGGACGGGAAGCAAGGCCTGCACACCGGTGCAGAAGGGAGTCAAAGGAGTGGCACTGAACAAATTGGTTCAACCACCCAAACAACCTACACCAAGGAGGAAGCAAGCCCTCGAAGAGGAGCCGAAAGATAGGGAAAAAATAAAGAAGGGAAAAGGTCAGGAAACAGCAGTTGCCACGTCAAGTGGCAAGGAAAGAACCCGACGCTTGGAAGAAGAGGAAGGAATAAAGGAATCGGGGACAAAGAGGAGGAAATTAAGGAGGGAACATCGTGGGAGCGAAGCAGACGATGAGGAGAATGGAATGGTAATCCAACGAGAGGGAAAGCCAGAGAAGGAACACCATGAATAAGGTGATACTGGCCAACGTAAATCACTCCGGGCCCGCACAAGATATGGTCTTGCAGCATATGTGCGAGCTCGACTGCGGGCTCGGGGTGTTCACGGAGGCATACAAGGCACTGGAAAGAGCAAACTGGGCAACCAGCACCGATGGAAGAGTAGCCATCTACAGACGTGAAACCAGGACCTCCCCGCCATGTAATGTATTATGGGCAGGGGAGGGGTATGTAGGCGTTTCTTGGGGGCAATTGGTGGTGGCTGGCATCTACATTTCGCCCAACGTCGCGGCCGCGGAATACGAGGCCAAATTAGAAGCCCTGGCGCGCGAACTGGATGGATGCCAGACACCATCAAATGTAATAGTCCTGGTGGACTTCAACGCTCATTCGGGCGTTTGGGGTTCCCCCGGGAGGATTGGAAAGGAAGGGCAGTCCTGGACTGGGCGTCGCGGCAGACCCTCGTATTGATCAATGTGGGGAACAGCCATACCTGTGTGAGGCCGCAGGGGAGGTCCATAATAGATCTAACATAGGCAACCCCCTCTGCGGCCGGACTAATCGAGAGATGGAGGGTGGAGACAGAGAGGGAGACATTATCCGATCATCGGTGTATAACCTTCTCTGTCTCCGCTTATAAGCGGGGGGTGCTGCGGCGCCGCAGGGCTCTGGATGAGGAGAATGGAATGGTAATCCAACGAGTAACTTTCGAAGAAGATGGGCCCTCAAGAAAATAGACGTCGATCGGTGGATGGCGGCTATCATCGGTGCTGGTGCAACAATGGAGGGATTTGATGGGTGGGATCTGGCCATGCAACAAGAAAAGCTGTCGCAGGCCGTTGTACAGGCCTGCGATATAGCCATGCCAAGGGTCGGGTTCCGCCCATCGAAATGTATGTACTGGTGGTCGGGGGAGATAGCGGAGCTGAGGCGTGCCTCCGACCACCAAAAAAGGAGGCTCCGCAGGGATCCTGCGGATCCAGATTATGAGGAAGGATGGAGGGCGTACCGAGCCGCACGGGACGCTCTCCGTATTGCAATAAGAAAGGCGAAGGCGAGGTCCTAGGAGGAGCTCCTTCTCTCCCTAGATAAGGACCCGTGGGGACGCCCGTACCGTATGGTGTTAAAGAAACTTAAAGGAGCGGCGTCCCCCCTGACGGAGTCCTTGGATTCCCATTTTGTCAAACAAATAGTGGACATCCTCTTCCCGGTCGTGCACACAGGCATGCACCCCATGCGTAATAGGAGGTTTGACTGGGAGGAGGAAGAAATGGGGGTCACGGGAGAGGAGCTCATGGGCGCCATCAAAGGGATAAAAAACGGAAAAGCTCCCGGTCCCAATGGCGTCCATGAAAAGCTGTGGGGCCTCGCCCATAAGGAGTTACAGAGAGAGATGAGGCAACTGTACAACAGCTGCCTCAAGGAGGGAAAATTCCCCCCAGCCTGGAAGAAGGCGAAATTAGTCCTTCTTCCAAAGGAGGGAAAGCCGAGGGACCAGCCCTCCGCATACAGGCCGATTTGCCTGCTCGACGAGGCGGGGAAAATCCTCGAAAGGATAATTCACCGCCGCCTCGTCGGGCACCTGTCCCGGAGTAGATCCACAGATCTGCACGAGGAGCAATATGGCTTCCGCACCGGGCGGTCGACAATAGACGCGATTAGTCGTGTCCGCTCGGAGGCGGGGGCCATTATGGAGGGGGGTGGGGTGTTGCTAGCGGTATCGTTGGACATCTCCAACGCTTTCAACACCCTACCCTGGCACCGGGTATCCGAGGCGCTCGACATACACAAGGTGCCTGGATACCTGGCTGCCATCATAGTGGACTACTTCCGGGACAGGACGATAACATACATCGATGGAGAGGCAAATGTATGCGAGAGGGCAATGTACTGTGGGGTTCCGCAGGGATCAGTACTTGGTCCGCTCTTGTGGAACCTCACATACAATTCGGTCCTTCGGACCAACCTCCCCCCCGGCTGCAAAGCTATCTGTTACGCGGATGATACGCTGATATTGGCCGGGGGGAAAGACTGGGGAGAAGCAAGGGCGTTAGCGGAGGAGGCAGTGGGACGGGTCGTGCGCAGCATAAAAGAATTAGGATTGAGGGTGGCGCCTCAGAAGACAGAAGCTGTCTACTTCTACAATGGACGCAAAGGGGCGCCACCCAGGACGGAGATAATGGTAGAGGGAACCCCTGTCTTGGTGGGGGCTCAGATAAAATATCTGGGCCTCTACTTGGATGGGAAGTTGACCTTCCGCGAACACTTCAACCGGATCGCCCCGAGAGTGGAGCGGGCGGCGATATCGCTAAGTCGCCTCCTGCCGAACCTCGGGGGGCCGAATGCGGGTGTTCGCAGGCTGTACGCCGGGACAGTCCACGCGATGGCGCTGTACGGATCCCCAATATGAGCGGCAAAGCTGGAGGCCACCTTCAAATTGCGGGACACCATGTGTCAAGTGCAAAAGCGGGTGGCAAACTGCGTGTGCCGGGGATACCGTACGGTGAGCTGGACAGCCGTGGGAGTGATGGCAGGGATTCCCTCCCTGAACATCCTAGCCAACATGCATTCGTATGTATATTGGCGATTGCGGGATGTTCGGAAGGAGGAGATAACTCTCACGGCAAAGGACCGGCGTGCATTGAAGGTCCACGCCCGGCAGAACGCTGTCGACCAGTGGATAGAGCTCCTGGAGAGACCGGGGCTCCGGGGCAGCGGACTGTCGGGGCCATTTGGCCCTGTCTACGCGAGTGGATAGACAGGGCCAAGGGAGGGGTGACATTTAGGATGGCACAGGTGCTCACCGGGCATGGATGCTTCGGTGAGTACCTGTGCCGTATTGGAAAGGAGCGCACGACCCGTTGCGTCCATTGCGGGCACGAGCGTGACGACGCGCAGCACACGCTGGAGGCGTGTGCTGCCTGGAACGAAGAAAGGAAGGAGCTCGTGTCCGCGGTGGGCGCAGACCTCTCGCTCCCGGCCGTAATTGCGGCTGCGGTCGGGAGCGAAGACAAATGGAGGGCCTTCTCCTCCTTCTGCGAAAAAGTTATGAGGCAGAAGGAGGAGAGGGAGAGAAAGCGAGAACGGGAGGGACACAAGAGGAGAAGGAGGAGAAGGCCTCCCAATAAGGAGGGGAGCGAAGGGGAGGACGGGGATGAAGACTGGCTCCCCCCCTTCAAGGATCGGCGTCGGACGCGGAACACGGCGCCGACGTCGACCCGACCCGGGATGAAATTAATGGGGGGGGGGGGTGGAGTGGGACGTACATACCGTCTTATCCCCATCTCCCCTCTCAAGCCCGGCGAGAGGGATGTGAAAAAGGGAGGTGATAGAAAGAATGATGGAAACGGGGGGGCGGGGGCTGCCGGTCGCCGGCCGCGGGACCTAGGTCCCTCGGCCGGGGGATGGGCGGCCCTCCGCCTCTCCAGGATGCCGGCCCCTCTCCTCCCCCTGACGGGGGGGAGGAGTGCTGGCTTTTTTCCTCCCCGGCGGTGGTGGCCGGCCCTCGGTTCCCTTTGGGACGGAGGGGGGCCACCATCGACGGGGTTGTGGGGACTAGCGTCGTCGGGCCTTAGGGCCCGGCGCCGCTGACCGCCCACGCGTGGGAGGGACGGGGGCGCCTGGCCGCTTGCCCGCCTGCCGGTGGCTCATAGGAGTCGGCCGGCGGGGGGGTTGGCGGTCCTGCGCCCTCGTCCAGCCGGGGTCTCCTCGAGGAGAGACCCCGGCGTTAGCGCCGGATGCCGGCGGCCGAGCCCTGAACCCCCTCCGGGGAAAGGGTGGTTGCCACGGCACCCGGCAGAGGGGGGATTGCGGGGGGTCCAAGCCTCGGCTTGATCCCCATTGCACGCGGTCCCCTCCCGCGAGGGTGCAAGGGTCTGTTGCCCTCCCGCCGAGAAAGACGCCCAGAGTCGGGCGTTCTCGGCTGGAGGGAGCAACCCTCGCGAGGGAAGTCACCCCCCCGGGGGTGGCTTTCCTGAGAGGGCCCCCCCTCGGTTGGCGGTCGAACTCGGCTACCCTTTGGGTGCCGGGGGGAACCCCAACCGGGGGGGCGGGGGGTGACGGCTCGAGCGGGCATACTCGAGCCGTGACCCCGCCGGCCAAAACCAACGGGAGGGCGCGGCGTGGGGTTGATACCGCCCTGCGTCGCAACCGCGAAGACCTGCACTTGCGGGGGGGAGGGTGCCGCCTTCAGTGGCATCCTCCTCAGGATGGATTAAGGCGGGGGGGGGGGCGGCTAGTAGGCATGGGATACCAGCATCCTGGCCGTCCCCTAATAACGCCCGAGAAGGTATCCGTAGTGGTTTTAGTGAGGTATGTCTTGCGCCCCCTGACCGATCCATTCGTGGATCGGCCAAGGGGAGTAAGAAGTCCCACATAACCGCCCGCCCTCTACCCGGAGGGCGGGGGTATCCATGAGGATTTCCACTACGTAAAAAAAAAAAAAAGAAAAAAAAGAGGTGAATGTGGATAAGACAAAAGTAATGAGGTTTAGAAAGGGAGGAGGAAGAATGAAGAAAATGGAGTGGAGGTGGAAAAAGAAAAAATTAGAGGAAGTAAAAGAATTCAAATATTTAGCTGGAAGAGCAGTCGCCCGGCAAGCGAAAGGTCTCGGGTTCGATTCCCGATTCAGCGATTTTCGGATCTATATTTTTCTCTTGCATTTATTTATTTATTTTCCGTAGGGGGGTTAAAGGGGTATTGAAATTAAATCTCAAAATATGAGATTATTTCATATTTAAAATCTTGGCCGTGTCCAAGTATAAATTTGGTGCCTTGTGCACCGGTATTTAATTCTAACGAAAAATTATTTAGTTTCGTTAGGATAACGCATTGTCATCCGCGATTTGGCTCTTGTTGCCCGTCTTATACGTTAAATTTATATCAAATATTTAGGATATAAGTTACAAAGAAATGGGGGACAGGAGGCACAGGTAAAGGACAGAGTGAGGAAAGCAGGAGCGGTGATAAGTCAGGTGTGGGGAATGGAGAAAAGAAGGTTTGCAGGAGACTGGAT